CCGCCAACTCTCAATGGTAAGTCCTCCCTCTCTCTCTCTCTCTCTCTCTCTCTCTCTCTCTCTCTCTCTCTCTCTCAGGCGCCTACTTTCCTTCGCGCGCACATGCAATGCTTCCGCCCGCCCCTGTCTGCATCCTGTCTTCTTCTTCTACCTACATCCATTCCTCTCTTCCTTTTTACGCGCATCTAACCCACATCATGCCCAGATTCATTAACCCCTCGTATGTTACGAACCATCATCGCTTCGACTACAAAATGCACCTGCATCGAATCTCACCAACGATGAGTGCTTGCTACTACCCATGGCAAGCACGACGAGCATCACAATATACAGGATGAGGACCGCCACCTCAGTTACGGTTGTTGGGATTACGATTCCGATGACAACCCGAATGCCGAAATGAAAAACGGCCTCCACGGTGGCAGGCATGGGAACGACGGTTGGTGACAGTACCGAACTCGTCTCCGCTGAATCTTCCGCTAGAATGTGGTCGGGTGCATCGCCAAACTAGAGGTACGTTCTCTCTCTTCGCACAACCGTCTCTTGTTCTCCTCCCCCTTCGCGCTCTTTTCCTCTCTCTTTCTGCTAACCCCGCGCAATTCTCATTACAGTCATCCTAGCCCCCTTGTTTACTCCACTCAAAACCAAACCTCCCAAAAGAAAACGGCTTCTATCTCCGCCGGTTTCGTTATGGAGTGAACGCGCAATAACTCCCCCTCCCTCTGCTTCCACTTCTTTCTCGTCGTTTTCCCTGTCTGTCTCTGTCTTCGCTCTTGACTAGCGCAGCAGCTGCCGACGATCAAACGAAGCGATAAAGGCGAGCACCAACTCTAAATAGTGCCTATCAGTAAGACCTCCTCGGCTTGCTTGGCGTGGCGGGGTCTGGCCATCGGTCGCTACGAAATGGACCCGGCCTGACTAGCGCGAGATACTCACTCTTAGCAAGAGGGGAGCTACTGGGCGGACGGGCCCAGACAAATCATAAGTATCTACCGAATTCCCTCATTAAAGTTGGAACACGGGCTTGTACATCAACAGTTCACGAGTGTACCCACTGAGCTAGGCTCTTAGTACACGATCGATCCCGGTACCAGAGCCGGACCGCGTCCCAAATTGGGACAAAAATAAAATAAAATAACAAAAAAAATAATAATAAAAACTTGAAAATTTAAGAAAATGAACAAGGGGAGGAGGATCGTCGGAACCCTGCCCTTAGTCCTGCCTATCGGGACCGCGGTCGGACTTCCTAGCAAAACTAAGGGGGATAGTCCCGTGGGACCGTCAACCCCTCAGTTTCCTCCATAAGATGGTCCTCCGCTCCTTCGTAGTCGGCTGGTGGCCTAGATCCCCAGATCTCCGTAGTATCAGTCTAAAGTCGTAACCTATAGGGCTAGGCCCAAGCTTGGAGGTAACCGGTGCGGACTTGGTTATAAAGACGTCCGGTTCACGCCCAGGCCTCTCGGACTGTGCTAAGCCCGCCATTTCTTTGGCTCTCAGGCTATATCATAGGTTCCTTTATACCCGGCCCTACTGCATCAAGGGGTCAGTTCCACCTGCCGCCGTCGTGCCTATGACACAACCACGCCGTTACTCAAACTTTCCCTACTAGGCTGTCTCCCCGAACTCGACTTTTATAGTGCCGCCCGCGGCTCCTACCGTTGACCAATATCATGGTCGGCCTGGGAAGTCCCGCAGTTTGCACCTCGCTAATCCTAGGGCTTTGGCCAGTAAGCCAAGCGGATTTGATGGCTAGATCTTATCCCAGACCGCCCAAATGCCGGTCTCGGACACGGATCCGCTCCGCGTGGGCTACTGCAGACCTCTTCCGAGTTCACCACACGTGGTCAACCAGGGGTGTTATTTTCGACGAATTTTGCACTATGGTCTCATATCGTTTGTTTATAAATTTTTGATGAAATTTGCACCGCAATTGCCAACAAAAACGGCGAATATTTGGCCCCCCGTTAACCGTCTCTCTGAAAACGCATCTTCTGTGAGATGCAAAATTGTGCCCAAATACCCTTGTAAGGGTATTCGGGTCGACACCGTATTTCACTCATCAAAGTTATTGCCGTGTGTCACAAATCAACAGTTTCCCTCCAGAAGGTCCATGATCCCTTCGGATATGGATGGAAGATACGACATTGACGACATTGTAGGTGAAGATATATTCCGGACAGGAGGTAGAGGTCGTCCACAGAAACAGTACAAGGTTCGATTCGCATATCAAGAACTGGAAGACGACCGCTGGTTTACCAGAACTGAACTGCTAGAAACAGCTCCCGACATAGTCAGGGCCTGCGAAAGAGATAGGAAAGGTAAAGGTCCTGCCTTGGACTGAGATATTCTCGGAGGACCTCGAATTTAGGCCGGCGGGAGTGAAACGGTATTCACCACTTCGGAGTAGCTTATGCAGATCCCAGGGCTCGATCCCTAGGCCCTACCTTACCTGTGTACAGTATCTTTGTCGACCCCTAGAGTTGAACCTGCGACCTGTGTATTTGTAACAGTTGGTAGGTTGTCGGAGTGTCTATAGGTAGCCGGGGTCGGAGTCTCTATAGGTAGCCGGGGTTCGATCTGTAGACCTGTCGAGTAGGAGCCTTAGTCAGGTCCAGAAGTCGTAGCTGTAGCTTTCCTGAAAGGTCAAGGTTGTAGCTGCTACAGTTCAGAAGGGTCAAGTCATAGCTGCTACAGTCACGAAAGGCCAAGTCTACGGCCTTCTGGAAGGTCCCAGTAGTGGCCAGCCATTCATTCATTCCTGCGGAAGCCATGCGGAAGCGCTGCTTCGGTGACTTGTGCGAGGTGGTCTGCAGAGGAGCCTGAAGTCGAAGTGGGCTAGAGGGAGTTAGCGCAGCCATAGCTGCTTGTAGAGTAGAGTTAGCTGGCGGCCATAGCTGCAATAGTTAGTAGTAGGTGTGCATTCGTGTGTGTGCAGAGTGTGTGCGTGGGGTATCCAGGGTGATCCAGAGTTGAAGTGTGAAGTGAAAAGTGGTGTTGGACACAGTGACAAGAGTTGCGATGTGTGGGTGCTGATGCACCATAGCCTATTGAAGCGAGCTCGCATCTGAACTGTGTCTTGGTTTCCATATCTTCGAGCTTTGAGTTGGGCGCTAGGCGCCAGAGTGATTCACCATCTGTTTGTATGCATGTGGAGTGACGAAGTATGCGAGTCTGATTGCAGGCTAAATAGATTCGTTGTGGTACTTAGATGACATCTTAGTCTTCAGTAAGTCCCTCCAAGAGCATGAGGGCCATCTGAGGCATATCTTGGAGAAGTTGAGAGAGGCTAACTTCAAGATCAACGTGAAGAAGTGTGAGTGGGCCAAAACAAAAGTCCTCTACTTGGGTCACATATTAGATGGAGACGGCATTAGACCAGATGGTAAGAACCACTCTGCCTTTGCCATGTCAGCACCCCTTTCAAAGAGAGACCATCTTGGCGATTTATTCCCTTATGGGAACCAGCCAGTGAGTGTCGTGAGGACACGAGTATATGGTTACAACCACTCTGCAAGTGCCACGTCAGCACTCTATCAGAGAGAGAGCTTCAAATTCTATCGTGCGGTCGTCTTCAATCGAGCAGCAAGTCGGAGAGATGAGGTCAGTTCGCCCTGATACCAAATTGTAATGATCAATCATGTCGCAGATAACAGTGTCGTGCAATGTCATGAAATAATCAAATCCGATAAGTCCATCAGTTTGAAGTCATTGAAGTACCTGTTTCCTCATTACCAAGTGTAACGTCACGAAGTCCACAATATCTAGAAGAGAGAGGAGGGAAGAATAGACAGTGGGAAGGAGAAGTGTAACACAACAATTAAGCCCCTCTTCTCCTTCAGGCTCCCCACCTCTGCCACGTCGGCGATCTGCACTCGATGTGCCATGTCAGCATTCCGCACTTGATGTGCCACCTCAGCAATCTGAACTCGAGGTGACGAGCGGACGATTGTGGAAGCAGCCCTCGCAGATAAACAATCCTCCAACAACGAGCAGAATTGGCAGCCGCCTCACATCTGAAGAAACCAGGTACGTACGCACGACAACTCACATCACCCACACACTCTCTCTCTCTCCCTCTCCTCATTCCCTCGCCGTCATCTATGGCCCCAGTCATGGCCGCCCTCTCCCTCTCTCTATACTATCGTGTCTGGCTGGCGCCCCTCAAGCAGCCTGGCGCCTGCACCTCCTCTCAAGTCTCACGTGCAGCGTCATAGCCACAAGCAACTCGCAAGACTGAATGCCAAGCAGTGGCAAGGTCAACTCAATAACTAGTTGACTCGCCTGTCCACGGTCAGCGTCGGTCAATGTGAGGGCCCGGATCTTCCACTTTGTCCCAGTTTCGGTCTGGACTTCTTGAGGCCCGAATCTTCCGGAACCTGCAGACCACTGTTAGATCATGCCAGATCGACGGCCAGGAAAATCTTATGTGCTGACTTTGACTTCTTGGATCTGGGCCGGGCTCAACGAGCTGAGTGTTGACTTTTCGGTTAACCGTCCGCCTGGGCCATTTCTGAGGCCTGCCCCTCTATTTCCAAGCTACCCGTTCGTGCTTGTCTGCGGGTGCGGCGAGGACCCAGCGGCTCGATTTGGCACACGAGTTACAGCACACTAACTATTGTGCTGAGAAACCACAACACGATGAAGAGATAAGCCACATCATATGCCATCATCACCGGGCACCAGTTAAAGGTAAACCCTTGCTAGGACTTCTAAGAGAAACACGTCGTAATCGTGGTCAGACCGCAGGAAAGTTCTAGTGTGCATACAACGCACTCTTATACTTAGTTGGCTATGTAGGATGGGATACGACATCTTGAATTCTTGCCCAGAGGAGAAATCTGCAATCGTCATAGAGCACTCAATGTGTGGATGATCCTGATTAATCATTATCTTATTAGAGAGGATATATTAATCACCCTTATCTCGAGCTGCTTGAAACCATTACCATCATTGTCTATGTGGAGACTTTGTAAATTTGAACAAAGGGGAGGAATACATACAAACCTCCACGAACAGCACAGCAGTGCTCCATAATAACTTTTGCACCCACATACAAGAGTCTCCTTCTGGAAGTCGAAGATTCTCAGGAAACCTGCAATCCAGAGTCAACATAGAAAGACGATCCACTGCATGACCAAGTAAATAGGGTGCCATGGCGAAGCATGGGGTGTCACCAATGCTGCGAGATAATGAAAACACCACTACCCGCCTCAGTTTAAGGTAACTTAACAGCTTGATTCTCAGGAAACCTGAATCCATAGTCAACATAGAAAGTCGATCCAATGCACGAGTGAGTAAGCAGGGTACCACAGCCAAGTATGAGGCATCACCAATCCTGCAAGATAATGAAGACACGAGTACACGCCTCGGATTAAGACAACTTAACAGCTCGCAGGGGAATACTCCCCAACAATAGATTGGAGCCCTGCTTTTTGTTTAAGAAAAACGAGAAGAGGAGGACAAAAAGGTAGAACATAGCCAGCATGCCAAATAAATAAGAGGAAGCCATAAATCCAGGTTCATCATCCTCTCAGTTCATCGCCATGTGTGCCGCCAGAAACCTCAGGCAAAATTCTCAGACATTACCAATGTTGATGACCAAATGGAAGACCGGGCAAACTGGCAAACCAACATCACTCTGGGAAAAAGAGTTCATGAAGAACAAATAAATCCAGCAGTTCGGCAGCCTGGTCGACCCGGCTAGTAACCCAGCTGATGATTGGCTAACAAGGAACTAAGAAAGCTAAAACTGAACTAACGATAACCCCACAACCAGACAAAAGCGACCTAACAGCAAACCGGCCAAGATCTGATAGACAACTCAGCGGTGAGCTGAAAGACGAGCCTGAGGAGATCCACTAAACTCACAAAACAACCCACAGCTGATGTACTAAGATCTACCAATCAACCCTGTTTCCTTTTTCCACCATGTGGATACCAGAAATGGTTTCCTTGTCAGGAAGAGTTTCGATCGCGTTACAACTTTCAGTCCTAACGCCGGATTGAGCTGCGGCTCCAGAAGATCGAAACAGGCTGCAGAGGAGAGCTCAATGGCGTATAATGTTGCTAACCTGTCAGCCGACCCCTGTTTGGGAGTTCACACCCGTCGCCACATGATTATGTATGTGCCATCACTTGTGTAATGTCCAAAGTGGCCAAACTATGAGTGTGGAGGAAGAAGGCTGACGTAGAAGATATTGTTGCTTAACCGCAGAAGAATGTGGATTCAGGGAATGAAACAAGCATGGGAAGGTGGTGCAAGTGGCCATTAATATACTACACACTTAGCGCATAATCTAGAAAGCACAGTTTAAACCACCACCACTTCCAATCTTGTTTTTGCCGAACCTGAATTTCACTGCATACCGAGTAAGCTACATTCTTCTCTCAATTTCACCTCACACTACCTACCTACCACTACTCCTGTATTCCCCGACTGGAATTGGGCAGAGTCTGCTGATGTTCGTAGAGGAGGTGACCTGAGGGGAGGCACAGGGATTGGTCCTGTTGGCTGATGCTACCGGCTGTCCCCCGGCCGGTGTCGCCCACCTGAAGGTCAGAAGCAGCCCCCGCATGTTCTCTCGTGAACACGGTTGTGGCTGCTACGAGGTTCCCCGGAAACATATTTCATCACGGCAGCTGCATTTGAAAAAAGAACAAGAAAAAAAAGGAAACAACGCTATGGATGTGAAAGCAGTTGGATACAGAAGAGGTGTACGTGTGTGAGTACGCCCTGAGTGAGGGCGTTACAGTGGACGGGATTGCGGGTAGATACATCCCCAGACGTGGTAGTGTGAGTATGCCCTCCATGAGGGCATGTCAGCAACCCGTGGATTGTGCCCTGCCTAGCTGGCAGGGAAGAAAAGAAAACAAAAAGAACCACAAAAGAAGCTAGCCATAAAGAAAAAAGTGCTGTGAGCTTGTTCTCACTCACGGTCTTCCCATAGACTATATAGCTTCTTCCTTTCTTTTTTTGGCTTTTCAAGCGGACCACAAGGCCCAAACAACTTCTAATTTCCCAGCCTCGCCGGGACCCCCGGAAAACGCGGTGTACATCATATTCCTGGTTTTCCCAACACTGAGAAAGGTAGTCGTGGTTTAAAAGACAGAGCAAACTGATCGACAGCAACTCGCTGGCCATTGCCAAAAGTAAACTCTACTATGATTCAGAGATGAAATGTGGGTGCAAGGGAAGAAGCTGCAGGTTGCCATTAACATGCTATGCAGTGTGGGCTCTGATTCCAGAGAAACACACCTACTCAGATGTCTGTTCACCCTACTCAGGAAGCACAGTATAATCCACAGAGTTGACCGCTAAACAGCAAAACGCCAACCATTGCCATGAACGTACATATGCAGTGAGGGTTCTCATTCAAACTACCGTTTCGGGGGTCGGCCTACCAGAGCTGAATGGCTGGAGGCGCCAGCCAAGAAGGGCCCTCACTGGTTCATTTTTTTTCTGGGCATGCAGGAAGGAATCTGCGCTGGCAAAAGGAAGCCTCCAAGAACTGGTGATTTGAGAAAAACACACATTACACCGATGCCTGTGCACGCAACACCGATGCCTGTGCACGCTCCAGGAAACGCAGTTTAATTTACAGAGCTGAGCAATGAGCAGCAACATGCCGACCATTGCCAAACTTCAGCTGTGACCCACATGCCCTCTTGCCTTTCTCATCCTCGATGACCTCCCTTGACCCACAGGAGTCGGATACAAAACCGAGAAGAATATCTCGAAGTACACAGCACTCATCCCACACGTGTGTTCTCATGTTCGTTATACACAACTCCAGAACTAAAGTGTGACTGTAACAGACTGTTCCATCGAACTTTCACTGACTCGTTAGGACGTTCAGCCCCGACAATCAACCCTGGATGTCTTCGATTGATGGACCATGCCGGCCAGAATTCAACTGAGAAACGTGGTTGTGTGAGTTTGACTGTTGCAAGAACCACCCCTTTTCCACTCAGATCAGTAGATCCAAAATTCAAATATATGTGACATTTTAAATGCTAGAAACATTTTGATAACGGCTGTGATTGTATGTGCGTTGTTAGGTTCGCTGAACACAAGTCTGTGTGTGCGTTGTCACGTTTGCTATACACAAGTCTGTGTATATGTGAGTGCGCGAGCGCACACGCGTGCGTGAGAGAGAGAGAGAGAGAGAGAGAGAGAGAGAGAGAGAGAGAGAGAGAGAGAGAGAGAGAGAGAGAGAGAGAGAGAGAGAGAGATGCTCTTTAGGGGACGCAGAATGCATGGAAGAATACTAACCATCCCTTCCTACAGTTGCGAGGTAGTGCCCATCAGAGGAAAAGGCAATCCCGTTTACTGACCCCGCACAGATGTGCCACCTGGCAATTGGGTTGTTCTGCACAGACAACAACAGGACATTTTTTACTGACATCAGCCGAAAGTTCACAATCAACAGAAATGATTATTTAACATTCAAGGATTTATGCAATGACATTCCGTTGTATCATCCATGTCACAGCTAACATTTAGCCAGCAATATTCACAGCTTGTACCATCCATTTCACATCTGTGAGGAATGTGTCCTCATGGGGCCCTAGACAACATGCATATGTTATGGACTGTGGACCCCAGCAAGCCTCATGCCCACCCTAAGTGTTACATACTGGATTCCACACGGGCCCTGTTAGGCCCGGTGGCTAGGTCTAGGGGGTTATCCCATACCGTGGCCACGCTGGGCCAGTCCGGCCTGGGTTAAACGCCGGACCTTTGAAAAGGCCGACGGTAGGCCTCCAGCAAACCGGTTCAGACCCGGGTCTGCAGCTGCAGGCCCTAAGCGGGAAACCGGCTCAAACGTTTTTCGTTTGGGCCTGGCGGCTGAGGATTGAGGCTGCCACTTCCCCGGGGGTCCGATCTGAACCGCACATTGAGTTGACGGTCTAGATCACGGCACGGGTTCACCAGCAGCCAGGCCGAACAGGCCACCGCCGGTACTTAGAACCGGCCAGCGGTCTGTTCTGAACACTTTGAGGCCGCAGCATTGAGCAGCAGCAGTGCTGCGCTATTTTCGGTTTAGCGCAGCTCCAGGCAGTAGCGCTAGGTGTAGCGCTAGCTGCAGAGGTGAGCGAGAGAGAGTAGAGACTTACCTGCTACCTACCTGTGAGCGCCATAGCTCCAGCGTCGAGGGCGAGTCTTCAGCAGCTCCAAGGAGGCACCTCGCATCAGCAGGTTGGTGCCTGGATACTGGATCAGGGAGTGAGGACTATACTCCTCCCACCTCTCCATCTCCACCTTCTCCTCTGCCCCTCTCAGCTCTTCTTCTTCTTCTTCATCATCTTCTTCTGACCGTCCACATTCTGGACTACTATCTGGAGGGAGATCAGAGGTGGACTATCGGTGACATAGGGACTGGAGACTATTTCGGATTGAGACATTGAGGGGACCATGTTGAAAATCTGACATCAGTGGCATTATGAGATTCTGTATCTTCGACATTTCGAGACTTTGTATCTTCGACATTTCGGGATTTCTATTTCGGCAATATTGGTGCTGGCACCATCTCTCCTCCTCTCTTCGTCTCTTCTCCCTACCTTTCGTCTGCGCATGATCGTGCAGGCCCTGGCACTGTCTTCCATGCTTGAAGCGCCAGGCCTCCCACCCGATGAATGTATGGTGTGAGTCTGTAGAGAATCCAAGTCAGGTGTGAGTCAGATCCATGTTTATCAGTCTTCCGCTGCATTATAGTGCTCTTTGTTATTGGTTGGTTCTGGGTTCCGCATCATACTTGTGTTCGCTTCACTAGTATGCAACAGTTTGGTATCGGAGCAGACCAAGATTGGATCTGCTCACAGATTGATCGATCGATTGATTAATTGATCAATTGATTGATCCTTCAAAAATTCCGATTGATTGATTGATTGATTGATTACTGATTGATTGATTGATTGATTGATAAACTGATTGATTGATTGATTGATTGATTGATTGATTGATGTAGTTCTGATTAGTGAGATGCAAGATAATAGATAAATCAGTTAATGCAATTTGATTGATTAGTTGATTAGGATTGTTTCTGCTATCAGATCTACAGTTGTCATCAATTTCCAAGTTGCAAAGTTTTTTCTTTTCTTTTCTTCTGTTTCTGTAATTCGGTAATGCGCTAAAGATAGAATTGCTGCAATCTGGAAGTTCACGTGATTTTAGGGTTGACACCAGGAATTTCGTGAAATTTGCAGAATTTTAGGTCTGAAAATCCCGAAAACTTCGCGAATTTGTTTTTCCAGTTTGCATTTTTCAATTAAGTCGCTTACCTCCGTGAATTCCATACGGGACTTTCCGTGAAATTCCCGGATGCTGGAAGGTCCAGACAGTTGCAGACGTGCAACGTCCCGGAAGTTTCACCTGCACTCAAAGTCCAAGTTGGCATTTTGACGAATGGTCGCAGGCAGTGAACTTTCGGACCACTGGTTGATCTCGGATTGACACCTCATGCCCGACAAATTCATTTATTTGAAATTATTTCATCATTTTTATTAACTAAATTAATAATTTTTAATTTTTTGAAAAATGCGAGGATCTGGGTCCTCGGCAGGCCTAAGGGGCCTCTTGCTGCAGATGTGCCCGCCCTAAGTGAAGGCGGGCCTAACAAATCACGAGAGGCCCTACGCTGTCAATTTCGTATTTGGGGTCCAGGCAGTTTCGTCGCGCCAGTTGGTTGAGGTTCCACACAGGCCGAGCAGCGAGACATTCCACGGCCTTCCAGGCCTTTCCAAAATGATGCAGGCCCTGGACGAGAATCACAGGCTCATACACAGACAGTTCGGAGGCCCAACCGAATGAGGCCCAGTAGCTGGAACAGAGGCGCAGCATCCTGGGGCCTACCGGAAGCTTCTGGGCCCAGGCCCAGACCAGCCAGGCTGCGAAGGCAGGCAGGCAGGAAAGAGCTCGCTGCCTGGAGCCTCATTCAGGCACTTGCTGTCTGGCAGCAGCGCTGCTGGAGCTTTTGCTCGCGTGCTGGCTACCGCTGCAGCAAGGTGCTGCACACGTGCGATCGTGTGGGGAAGCAGGGGGCTGTTGAGGGCAGCGCCATAGCCCAGCCTCCATAGCTGGCTGAGGGCTTGGTTGTACAGTGAGGCGCAGGGGTGGTCTTCGGGTGTACTGAGGGAAGACGTGGGTGTAAGAAAAGGAAGAGAGAGAAGGATGATGATGATGATGATGATGTGAGGGCACATGCCTGGTATTGGCGATAGTCTGCATTGGGCGACATCTTCAAGTACTTCGTGAGCTGCTGACGTCAACAGTTGCATTGTCAATTAGTAGGCAGATTGTAGCTGTGTAGATAGTAGGCTGGGCGCCGAGCGCCAAGAAGGGAGACGGGGCCTGGACACGCATGTTGGTGGTGGTGGCTCGTTGACATTGGTTTTCAGTGTTAGAAATTTTCATTGGTGTTATATTGGTGCATTTCTGCTTTCCGGAAAGTACTTCGTGAGCTGCTGACGTCAACAGTTGCATTGTCAATTAGTAGGCAGATTGTAGCTGTGTAGGGAAGTAGGCTGGGCGCCGAGCGCCAAGTAGGGAGATAGGGCCTGGACACTCATGTTGGTGGTGGTGGCGAGAGCTAGCTCTCATTGACATTGGTTTTCAGAGTTACGAATCTTCATTGGTGTTATATTGGTGCATTCTGCTTTCCGGACACTGTGTTACTATCTGGCCTTCAATGTGATTGTGTATTCTGGTTATTGTCATCTCGCTACTGCTCATTTTCCTTGCAAAAGATATTGTCCGGGGGGAAAATTTTTCTTATTGATTAGAGTGTCAGTCCACATTGGGGATTAGGGAGCCGCATGCTTTTCTGTTCTCCTCTCCCACTGATGGCCTAAAGGACACTGCCGATAGCAGTCACTGCAGTTCCCTGCAGCAACTCATGTCAGCAGGTCAGCGACCTGTGGTACTTCCTCGACGCAGTCCTCGGATAGCAGCTCTTCTCAGCAAACAGCAGCAGGCGGCAGCGCGCATCCCGACACTTACGGTACCAAGGAAGCGGCAAATGGTGGTCCTGCCAGCGTTTCCAGTCCAAGGCGCGGATGAGGTGTCCGGCGTGTTCTTGCAGCGCGTGCAGGCCTTCATGGACCTGGCCGCTGCCGAACAGGAGCGGATTGCCACTGCAGCAGCTGAACAGCAGAGACTGGCCGAAGAGGCAGCAGCTGAGCAACAGAGCCTGGCTAACGAGGCTGCCGCCGAGGCACAACGTTTGGCCAAGCAGACAGCCGTCGAAGCAACGCAACAGCAACAGTGTGCCGCAAGCACACGGGTCCTGCAGAATGAGGAGCAGCGTTTCAGTGAGCTCCTCATGACGTGGACTTCTGTGCCATCAGCCGTGTGATCATCGCCAACAGCGGCGGAACAGGAGAAAGCATAATTGACTTACCTACTCAGACACTTGTAATACACTGTGAACTGGCAGCAGGAGCAGTTGCGGCAGCACGCTCAGGCAGCATAACAGCAGCAACAGGTCCTAAAAGCTTCCGCTAATGACTTCAAGACACTCGTGACAGCAATCAACTCTGCCAAAACACAGCAGCAGCAAGTCAACCACACACTTACCTCGCGCCTGAGTACGGTCGAAGCACACCAATCGGTTCATCAACAGCTGGCCAGCAATGGGGCCCACCTGTTGCAGCAATCGAAAGTACAGCCGCCACCACCACTCAGCGCATTGATCACATTATCAGCCTGATTGGCGAGGTAGGCCAGTTCAAGTCCCCAACGACGCTCAACAACCAAGTGACGGCACTCAAAACCCAGCTGGGTCAGCTCAAGTCCAGACCGGACAGCGGCAAGACATACAAGATGCCCAAGTTCAACGTAGCAAAATTTGACGACAATCGCAAGACCGACTCATTGGCATGGTGGACTGCATTCAACACGGAGGCAGACGTACATCATGTCCCTGACGACCAGCGCCTCAACGCGCTATACCTCCAGCTGATTGGCGGCAGCCAGGCCTTCATGAACAATTTGGCGTTACAAAAGGCTTGTACGATCGCAACACTGCACACCAAGATTACATGGGCAAAGTTTGATCAGCTATGGCATACACGGTTCATGGTCCGAAACATGAAGAAGATCATCATGAATGAGCTCTGCCATTGCAGTCAGAGCACTATGCCCACCCGAGAATGGTTGACGAAGTGGCAAAAGTTTGTTTCCACTCCGAAATTCAACCTCAATCTCGACGATTTGAGATCTGAGTTCTTCTCTCGGTCATGTGACGGGTTGACTACGGCTCTCGGCAACGAGTTGCAGTACGAGACCTTCGACGCAGTCATATCAAGAGCGAACATTCTCATACAAACGGACTGGCGGGCGGCCAATGAACGTCGCCAGCAGCAGCCAGCC